GGTGATCAACCTGTAAATTTTCTGAATATGAGACAGCAAGACTTCTTCCTAAGACTTGTGTGAAGGAATGAGATTCACATCATGGACTGTCCATCAGGATTTTTCTTGCAAGATTATATGACCCATAATACTTATGAATTGGCAGCCAGAAACAGTTTCCTGAAGAAATTAGAGTAATTGTGGAACTGTAACACTATAGTTGAAGCAGGGTCTGGTTTTCTAGTTTTCTAGAAAGAGATAAAGATCCTTTATAGTTGTATATCTCTTCAGAATTTGTTGCTCACTCTATTTTTTATTGTGAATGTTTTTTCTTTCTTTTTTCACTCTACATTATTATTGTTGTTGTTATTATTATTTTCGAGAGATCTTTTTGCTACAGAGCACATGTGCCAAAGAGCAAAGACAGAGAGATAGAAAATGAGAAATTACCCCAAGAGGGGATGGCCATGCTAAATCCTTTCTCCTTCATTCTCCTCTTGAGATTTTGGGCGCGCACACACACACACACACACACACACACACACACACACACGCCTGGCGTGGATATTAAGCCATCAGGTCCAGGACTTGAACCATGATTGACCAACTGGGAGTCTACAATGTAACCATTACACCATCTGCTGGTCTCACTTTGCTGTTCACTCTAAACCATAAAGCAAGAAGAGCAAATGTGATGATACCCTCGACATTAAAAATGAAAAGTGTTGCTGTGTTCATTAGGTGAATGTGCCCTTGTTTAGGAAGACACTGATACCTTGTTCTACCCACACAAGCACCTCCCATCAGCAAGTACCAAACTAATGAAGAAACCTGTCCACCAATGGCCTACTCTGAGCTCAGCACTTGGATTTCACTTCTCAAGCGCTGAAACTGAGTGGCTGGAAAGAAGTTTGCAGCAGATGGCTTTAGTGGCTTGGTGGGATGACAGTGGCTACAAGTAATCTGTAAGGTAAGTAGAACACTCCTTGGAGCAGATGCGAGGTTTGCAGAATGCAGTGATTTTGCCTGGGGCAAGAGGTCAGACTAAAGGGAGACTGAGAACTGTTGCACCTCCATTGAGCAGCTGCAGGAAGCAGGAACTGGGCAGGTAGGACATAATTGTTTTATTCACCTCTTTTTCATCCTATTGCTGAGGGACAGAGTCTCAATCTACGATTCTGGGAATGGCTGAACATGCTACACCTGACCCTGGATAAATGATATTAACAGACGTTTATAAGTTATATACATTCATAGCCCAGGAGGGGACGATGCATAACATGAAAGGCCCCATTGGGTTACTCTCAGGAGTAAGTGGAAGAGACAGGGGCTCTGGGAGGCAGGTTTTGTAGTAACAAGAGGAAAAGGTGACCCTTGGGTCCTATGGAAAATGTGATTAGTTTGTTTGAATAATTTTAAGGGTCAGGTGCAGCTGGTCTGATTGAGTGGGGAACTAATGAAATAGGGAAATTTTTCTGCTGGAAGAAGGGCATATCTGGCTAGAGCCAGTAAACCCATGGCAGGTTTTGGGGCCTTTGTGAGGCTTCAAGATGTCAAGACGGCACATGAAATTTTAGGCCTAACAACACATATAGGGCAGAAATCAAGTACTAAGTGACTTTGTATATGGCTGTTATCAAAAAGCTGACACAAACAGGGGCCAGCAGTTAGCGTAATGGCTATGTCGCTGGACTCCCATGTAGTTGACCGTGGTTCGAGTCCCGGACCCAGTGGCTTAAACTCACGCCGGGCGCGTGTGCGTGCGTGCCCAAGATCCCAAGAGGAGAATGGAGGAGAAGGGATTGCGGGGTGGCCATCCCCCCTGGGGGGTGATTTCTGGCTTTCTGTCTCTCTGTCTCTCTCTGTCTGTCTGGCAAGCGCACACACCCTATAGCAAAAACCTCTCAAAAAAAAAAAAAAAAAAAAAAAAAAGAAAAGAAAGAAAAAGAAAAAGCTGACACAAACTGTTTTTCACTTATATACTTATCTATTTGATTTTTGTTAACCTGTATCATTCAGTGTTCTTTGGTAGAAAAAATCTTCTTGTTCTTGTATTATGGAATTTTCAGGTTCAAAGAAGCTGTTGAAAGAACTCAAATCTATTCCTTGTTCAGATAGGAATATTACTAAATTCTCTTAAATGCAAGGTTCTGTTTTAGTTTTGAAGATATAAGGACTTTTAAAAAGAACATGAAGAGCCAGCCCCACGACTTGGTGGTTTAAGGAAACCAGAGATCCCTCATGGCCAACTTCAAGATTTGTGTTCTGGACATGGAAGCTTGGAATATAGGCCAGGCATGTACACATGTGAGTCCAAATACCAAAAGGATGGAGACATGGAGGAGAAGGGGTTGCAACATGGCCATGCCCCTGCAGGAGGTGCTTCTCTCTTTGTCTCTTTCTCTCTCTCTCTCTCTGGAAAATGCACATGCCCTCTGGCAATATTAGAAGAAAAAAATAGCATGTAGTAATTAATTTTGATATTTTAAATCATTTCTCAAATATTCTTCCTTAGATCTAGGGGGAAAATTTTCATGCTAATGGTTTTTTTTTTTTTTTTTAGGTTTTTCCATAGGGTACGTGCACTAACCAGAGAGAGACAGAGAGAAGGAAAGTGAGAAATTGCCATCCAAGGAGGATGGTGAAGCCACAATCCCTTTTCCTCCATTCTCCTCTTGGGATTTTGGGCACACACACACACACACATATGCACCCAACATGATATTCAAGCCGCTGGGCCCAGAACTCAAGCCATGTTTGACTATGTGGAAGTCTAGTACCTTAACCACCATGCCACCTGCTGGTCCCAATATTATCAATTAGATTATGCTTCCTGGGCTAAATTAATTTCTAAAGATACACACACAAAAAAAATATAGGAGAAAGGAAACAAAGGTGGGAAAGAGGCATACAATATACCCCCTTCTGCCTTTTCACGTTTATAGTTTTGTTTTGGTTTGGGTTTTTTTGGAGAGGTTTTTGCTATAGGGCACGTGTGCTCGCCAGAAAGACAGAGAAAGACCAAGAGACAGAAAGAGAAAAATCACACCAGAATCCCTTCTCCTCCATTCTCCTCTCAGCATCTTGGGCACACATGCATATGCACCCGGCGTGAATTTAAGCCACCAGGTCCGGGATTCAAACTATGGTCAACTACATGGGAGTCCAGCAACATAGCCACTATGCCAACTGCTGGTCCCACTTTTGTACTTTTTAAAAAACCAGTTAATTTTAGTAATTGAAATAAAATAATTGTAAAGGTCCTCTATAAAGAGACTTCATCCTCACTCCTCTTATTTTTTCCCACAACTCCTCTCTAATCTACCCACTTAGACCTATGTTAGAGATAGACTGCATTTCTTAGAGTCAAATGAACTCCATGGCCTATTTCTTGGTTTCTGTATTTGTTTCTCTCCATTCTGGAACAGTTTTTGTCCCCATCGGCTGCACTTTAAACCCTGCTCCAACCACCTGGGAGCCCTCTCTGATCACCATGATATTCATTACGATTTTTCACCTCTGAAAGGGGATGTTTGTGACCAGGACATCGCAAATGAGCATACGATTCTATTTGTTCTGAGTCATTGGCTCTTGGTCTGTATAAGTCTTATTTTTGAAACTAGAATTTTAAATATCTTGACAACAGAAAGGCAACACTATTCATATGTATTTGAAGTCCTCACCTCTCCTAGGGGTGAACTGTTGTGCTGGAAGAATTACCACACAGTCTCTTCAGAGATTTTGAGCCAATAGTTTCTTAGCTTGACACTAGTGTCACTAGGGCAAGACTCACTCAAGGAAATTCAGAAATCCTGGGGTATTGAGTGATATCACAATATCCAGAGGTCAAGCAGGTAACATGTCTAAATCAATCATCTGAATTCAAGAGTGATAGGTGTTCTACGGCTGAATTAGAAAACACTTGTCCTACCTAAAAGTTTTCAAAATCCAGATTAAAATTTTTTTAAAAAAAGCACTTCTCCTTGGTATTTCTTTGATTTAAGTTAAAACTGGTTTTCTTAATAGTAATGAGTGAACTCATTATTGAAAGTAGTTAGAGTATGTAAGAAATTGTGTGATCAATACAAGGTGGGTGAGAAAGGAATGGAAGACAATTGTAGACACCAGAGATAGTGTGAGAAGAGGGCAGGAAAGGACAGAAGGTGAGAAAGAGGGATAAAAATAATTCTAGGAACTAGAAATGGAAAATTTTTTATAATATGAATGATTAAGTCACTATGCAGTATATACTGGACTTGTGTCCATGGAAATGTATATATCACCTGTGTTTGCTATGAAAATATTTAGATTAATTAAGGTCTTTAGTAATTCAATACAATGCAGGGGGAAAACAGTATAGAAAGCAAACATAAATACCAGAGACAGTGTGGGAGGAGAGTGAGAGATGGCAGAGGGTAAGAGATAAGGAATCAAGGATGGGGGGAAAAAAAAGCAAAACATACAGAAAATAAGAAATGGAAGATTATTTGCTGACAATAACATGTTGATGTGCTTGATTGAGACAATATACAGTGTACTCTGGATGGAAAATCTCATTTTGTATGCTGTAATGATGTACAGTGAATGAATGCAAATAAATTAATTAATTAATTTAAAAAAATTTTTTTAAAAAGCACTTCTCAGGTAACCAGCATACATCTAACCATGAATGACAGACAAATAGTATGTGACCTGTAGTCAGTAGTGGCCACTAGCCCATCTCTGCAGGCATTCACTTCCCTGAGAAAGCAGAATGCTATAATATGAGTAAAAATAGGATAGAGCTTAAAGTGAGCCTCCATGGAAGGCAATATGTACAATCTCTTCCCACCTTACAAGCTGGGCATTTCCCTTCCTTCCTCCCATACTCTCATCTGTGGACTGAATAACCACATGAGTTTCCCTACTACACCTGCCATATGAGTCAGGAGAGCTCTGTGATGCAGTCTGATGACTTGGTTCCATCTCTGTGAGGTGAACATAACCAGGGCTAGCACTGGAGTCATTAGGCACCGGAACCCTGAATGCAAAGATACAAGGATGGCTGTTCTCCTCATGCTAATGAGGTTTAGGTCATGTTGAGTTCTACTTTTGCTCTATGGGATGTTGGATATCACTTAAACACCTATGGCTCCATCTTCATCATTCTCCTAATTATCTGGCAAGTGAAAAGGTTTGGATTGAGATTGGGACCTAAAAAAAGCTGCTGCCAGGTAGGAAAACATTATGATCACAAATGAATTAATGAATCCTCAGTCAAGAGGCTTTTAGGTTCTTAGTGTCTCTCCTTTTTATTCCCCCAACACCAATTTTTACCTTCAGTTACCTTTGCATAGTACTTTTCTTCTCAGAGTCTATAATTTCTTACCAGGCCCTAACTACAACGTACTCTAATTGAAAAACCGGGGCTAGCAAGTGGCATGGTGGTTAAGGTGCTAGATTCCCACATGGCTGACCACAGTTTGGACCGGACTTGGTGACTTATTTTGTTGCTTTCTCTCTCTCTGTCTCTCTCTGGTCAAATACTTTTTAAATGACAATAACAAATTAAAAATTAAACAAATAATTATTTTAGAAAACGAAAACCAAGAACTTCTTTACTGGGCTTGGGTTGAAAACTAGAAGAGGACTGACCTTGTACCCTATTGATTAGGGAAGTTAGAACCCACTTGGTCAACCACAGTTCTAGGTCTGGCCCCAGCAGCTTGAAAAACATACCAGACACATGTGGATATATGCCCCAAATCCCAACATGATGGAGAAATAAAGGAGAAGGAATTGTGGCATGATCACATGCTATTGTGGAGAGCTTTCCCCATCTCCCTCTGTTTCTGTCTGTCTCTCTCTGATGAATGCATACACCCTCTGGTGAAGAAGAAAGAAAGAAAGGAGAAAAAAGGGAGGGAGTAAGAGAGAGAGAGAAATAAAAAGAGAGAGAGAGAAAGAAAGGAAGGGAGGGAAGGAGGAAGGAAGGAAGGGAGGAAGGAAGGAAGGAAGGAAGGAAGGAAGGAAGGAAGGAAGGAAGGACGGACGGACTACATAATACAGGATTCACATCACTGGATCTCAGAAGACCTCCCCATATCGGAGATTTTTCTGATTAGTTGACTTTGCAACAGAAGTCTTTGGGTTGTTAGAAGCACTCATTCACTCACTCTTTAACTTGTTACACTATTTTCTGGTGTCATCCTGAGCTCCTTGCAGAACTTGTCAGTGGAATGGAGTCAAGAGATATGGAGAACAAAATGCCTCAAAGTGAATCAGAAATAAGCAGAAAATAGAAATGGTGGGGTAAAAAAATAGTGGATTAAGTAAAGGAAATGTAGGAAGAGTGTAAATTCAGACAGATATATAGAAAGGGAATGAGAAATGTATATAAACTTTGGCTCTTTTGGGATATGAAAAAGAAAATGGTGGGATGAACAGATGGCATAATGGTTGCATCACTGGACTCCCACATGGTTGAATGCAGTTTGAGACCCTGACCCGGAGGCTTGAAACTTACACTGGGCATGGGTGAATGCATGACCCAGATCCCTCCTCCTCTCTCTACTCTCTTCTTGGGATTTGCGGCATGCATGCACACATGCCCAGTGTGAATTTCAAGCTTCGGGGTCCAGGGGAGGGGAGTGATTTCTTGCTGTCTGTCTCTCTGTCTCTGTTCTCTCTAGCGAGTGCATGCACTCTGTAGCAAAAATCTCTCTAAAAATAAATTAATTAATTAATTAAATTAAATGGTGTCCCAACCTCACATTCCAATGTTTTTTGTCTTTAAGCATCACCAAAAAGTGAGGCAAAGGGCTAGAGATGCATCATCAAGAGGTAAAGTCTTAATCTGTCCTCTGACTCCCTTCCACCTGGGTGAGGTTTCCGTGAATCCTGTCCCTCTGTGACTCTTGGTGCCAGGAGCCAGATGCTCTAATATTACTCTGCAAGCTCACCTTCCCCAGAGTGACAATTTTCATAGACAATTTCTGCAGGTGGGAATCAAAACTTGGAAATGTTCCAAAATTCTCTACATTACTGCTCTGGGAATGAAGAATTAGGAAAGTGAGGCATATGTCCTTAATTGTGCCATTTATTAGTTTTATGGCCCTGTGGACATGACTTACTTCTGTCTAATCCATAAAATGGGTATAACATGGGTGATCCTGCATCAGTCACACTTTGGTTATGAAGACAAAATTAAAATAGATACGGAACAGCACATGATGGTGACACTGCACGTAGACATGCCTTAAAGCACTGACTCTTGGGGTTTTCAGTCTTCTCTCATTCAAGCCCTTTAGCTCCCTAAAGGATTCCCCTAAAATTCTACCATGTCACATAATACTGTCTTCTGGTTCTACAGCTAGGAGACTTTCCCAGGAAGAAGCTGAGAAGCCCCAGGAGCTGGTCTCTGTTATGAAAAGGTGATGTCTTGCTCTTTGCCGATTCCCAACACCCAGCCTGACTCAGATAATTTTTCAGCTTGGCCTGGGGTAGGGATGAGAAGAGGGTTGATGGCTGGGAGGGAGACATAGACAGCAAAGGCTGACTCACTGGTTGAGAGAGTTGCAGGGGTTCAAAAACACCTCAGGACGGAAGACTCACTAAATTCTAAACTGTGATAGTCACAGTGGTTTGGAAATTCAAGACTGACTGGTGCATAATGCGTAAACAGCTTTACATGGGGTCGCGCTCTGCCACAAGACAACTTATCCATTCAAGAGAAAGGATTTTGCATAAAGAAGTCATCACTGTCATATTCCCTTTAGAGCTACACCCTTTCATGGGCAGATTCCACTAAGTCTGGCAGACCCTGCTGACATTGCCTCTTCTGGTTATGTCTTTAGGGAGCCAGGTCCTGAATAGCCCACAGACAGGAGTCTATCTTCTTATCCACCCCTTAAGACCTCTAGAGAACAGAACTAGTTTGCAAGAGATACTGGGTACAGTAGCAGAAATACCAAATATCTCCCAAAATGTAGAGTTCCTACAAAGACCATGTTTGCCACAGTGGATGTACAGAATACCAGCCTTTGTCTTAAATATAACTTATTCAGGTCATACCTGGTAATATTCCTGGTGATGTCCCATCAAGCAACCATGTGGCTTCTCCATCTGGCTGATTTTTCTCTCCTTGTTTAGCTTCTCGGCAAGACTGACTCCAGCTCCCAGGCTTCTCTAAGGGCCATGGCCTCCTTTGGGCTGTCTGAGACTCTGCCCAACAAGCTCCAGACCATCAGATCAGCCTACCATATCTTGCCAAATGTTTTAATTTTTTTTTCCTCAGCAAGAACAACAGAAGGGTAGGCACCTTGTGTGTGGAGAGCCCAGAATTTACAAGACTAGGAGAGGATATCACCAGTCTCCTGTCCACACTCTTCCAAGGAGATGAATGTTACTCCGTCATTAATGGTTGCCATGTTTTCCTTCCAGTCAGGGCTGGCTTCCTGAGGAAGGAAATGTGCGGCGGCTCCTGTGCACAGATCACTGTTGCCAAACCTGCAATGATGTGACTCTCGAGATTCGGCAATTGCTGTGGATGAGGACAGCCAGATCTCCCTCACATTATCACCGACATCACAGGGTTCCTCTTGCCTACAGACGTTGTCCATGTCTAGTGTGTCTGAAGGTTTGTACTGGGCACTCCAGAAAACTTTCCTTGACATCTGTCACCAAAACACTGACACAATGTACAGATCAGAAACCCTTAATCCAGTTAGCTGACCAGTCAACCAATGAGGTCAGCTTTCAAGATTATTGGACAGAACATCTACGGTTAAGGGAAACTTATCTAGTACCAGATGTGCCCCTGGAGCCAGAGACTATGGTTTCTTCGAAGCTTGAGGAATCCAAGAGTCCAGGGAACCAGGAGGAAATGCCACAAAGCAGTCTCAGTCTTTTTCATAGGAATCATGGCCAGCAGCCCATTAATGCCCAGATCTCTTTGCTGTCCTTGACACCAGAGATAAATAACCTGACAAATTCTATGGCTTCACATGTGGTCTCAGTCCTCCCTGTCCACTTGTCATTCCTCAGTTCCAAGGTTCTGAGACTTCTTGAGGTACATGTTAAAAAATGGATGCATATCCAGAGATGGGGGCTCCCCAAACGTGTGGAGGAGTCTCTGAGGCAATTTATACCTGATTTCACATTGTTTTATGAACCTAGAAGAAAACAACCATTTTACCCCATATCAAATATTATTTCTAAGGTCTCTGTCGATAAAATTCAGACTC